AGTGCGCGACACTCGGGTGTTATTAATTTATTTAAAAATCATAAAACTTTGCCAAAGCATAGAACTCTTTAGAAGATATTTATATATGGCCAGACGTATGCGAGAAACATTTTGGATAGACAAGAGCTCTTAGATTTTGGCCAGCGTCTCGTATCTTTCTAAGTGCGCGACGCTCGACGATTTTTAATTTATTTAAAAATTGTACAACAACTCCAATGCATATTACTCTTTGGAAAATGTTTTAGCATGCTCTGAATTATACGAGAACTCTTTTAGGATCGCTACATCTCTGAAATTTCCGGCAGCGTCTCAAATCGTATTCTTGTTACATGTTTCCGCTAAACTTAATTTATCTGTAATTATTTTTTTTGCGTTTCTGGGGTGGAACTCTTTATAGAACTCTTGTAGAACTATGAATCTTTCAAATTGTGATATTATATTGCCGCGGAACTTGTTTAGGACAAACTGAGACGCAGCGTGAACCTGGCGTCTCAGTTTGTCCGGACCCAATTTTTCTGCTTTAATGAACAGAACTATTTGTTTAACTTGTCAGGAACTCTAGAACTATTGAAAAAGAAGCCAGAACTCTAAATAATTTGTGAGTTTCCATGAAATGAGACGCCAGCTTCACACACACGAGATCACCAGCCTGAAAATCGATATTAATAAACCATTTAAGATCGTTTGCCATATGATTAATCGCACCGTTATCAAATAACCAATTTTCATAAATATTACTTACTGAATCAGAATTAGTAATCATAAATGCGTATTTTTTATCGTTACCATTTACAGGTTTCACTATACTATTGGCGGATTTCTTCCTCTCTGTAATTCCTCGGTTCGTATCATTGTCTTTCCTTCCGTCTCGTTTGTAGTTGTTGGTAGCCCTGTGATGATCCTCTTTGTAGTTTTTACGATTCCAACAGAGCTTCGCAATATGGCCGCTTCTTCCACAGTTGTAGCACCTCTTGTCGTTCTTCCTCTGGACTGCGTAAGCACCGTCCGTTTCTCTAATATGGCTTCCACGACGT